GTGGAGGCACAAACGCTGGACGCCCCCATGGCGCAGTCTGCGGCACGGGTGGCGGCCATCGAGGTGGTAGCCGCTGCATTAATTCAAGCTGATAAAGTTGTACATTTTGTAACATGGGTACAATTTTTGCGCTTGCCCTAAATTAACCACATGGGTACAAAATTTGTGATCTCGTCGCAATTGACATTCACAAAATAATGACAGACGCGCACACCGAGCTGCTCAAGTGTGCGCTGCAGCTGGCGAAATGCAGTGATAAGGTACGTCCTTGCTTCAGTTTAGGCCCACTCTTCCGCTAGCCAATTGAACGTGGTGTCTGGTGTTATAACCCACAGCTCCGCGCGACGGACGCGATGCTTGGCAAGTGTGTGAGTCGTATGCAGACCGCCCTACCAGCATCTGGAATGCCGCGTCTGATGTCCAAGCTGGCCGTGGTGCCGGCTAACCCAGCGAAAGAGGCACAAACACTGGAGGAAAAGTTCCAGGAGGTCTTTGATCAAGGAACGGAGGTCACAGAGCGACTGGAGATCACCAAATCGAGGCTGGAGAAGGAGCTACGGCGGCGCTCGGAGAACGTAAGTTTCTTTTTTTTTTATTGTAAAAGTGATAGTCCAGTCTGATTGTAATTTGACAACGCCTGTGGCAGTTTCGGGACCTGGTTAAAAGCCGAAACACCGACATCCAGCAGGAATATGCACGAATGCTCAAAGAACTGGACGACCAGGTGGAGTCGTTAGACCAGGAGATTGCCCAGGAGAGGGACATTAAAGCTGAACGAGCTAAGCGACGACGTGAGGAGGCTCTGGAGAGGAAAGCGAGCAAGAAACAGCACTACGATGCAGAAACTACGCAGCTGAAGGAGCAACTGGAGGATTTCACGTCCGAGATCAGACAATTGCAGGAAGTGTTTGCACGCTTGGAAAAGGAGGTCGAGAGCCAAGAAAGCGAAAACAGTCCCGATGATGTTCAGAGTATAGAGGAGCGACGTCGCCTAGAGGAGGAACGTGCTCAAAACGAAATTGTGGAACTACAACAGGAGATCGTGCTGCTGAAGGAGGCCCAGGAGGCGATCGCGGAGAAGATTGACGTACGTATCGATTTTGTTACGACGTTCTTACATTGATACGCACTCTAACTTGTGTATCTTCTTGTCGTTATGCAGAAACAATCTCTTAAGACCCAGTATGAGGACGAGAAGCAGGAAGTTCGGGAAGAAACGGCGCATGTAAGTTTTACTTTTCGCTCTGTTATTGTAAAATTGTCACGTCCTAACTTGAATATTCACAGCTGAAAAGTCTGGTGGAAGACCTTACACCTCAAATCAATTCCAACGGTGTTCGACTGCACTCGTTGCTGCGTACACTTGCGCCATCTCCAGGCATCGGAACGCTCATGACACGCCTGTATCAACAATTATGCGGTGATTCTCGTTCGCCATCGTCACCTGATTCGCCTCCCACACCACGCAAAACAGTCGACCTAAAGGCATTTCTCAACGTAAGTAGACCGACTACGTAGTCTACTTGGCCCACATGTAACTAAACTATTACGTGCATGTACAGAGCTGTCCGAGCTTCGAGGAAGGCAACCGAGCAATCGACGAGCTTAAGAAGTTGCAGCTCATTCATTGCTACGAGTCCAGCGGAATTATTGCGCTGGCAGATTAGTGAATTTTGACACATAAACACTTTTTTTCATTATTCTCAAGACCAAACTGAGCGTCGTTCGAACCAGAATCAGCAGTTTACAACCACGAGGCTCACAGCCTGCTCCTCTTGTTCTTGAACTGCTTCTTGAGTTCCGTCACGGTGGCTAAGAACTCACCCGATGCCGCACGACGGTCCAACTGCTCGAACTCATAGAACAGAGCCTCGCGGATCTTGGGGGCACGTTCACGACGCAGCAGCGACTTGTACACGGGGAGACTTGTCTTGTTAAAGCGGTTGTTGACGAGAGGCGTAAGCTCAGCGAATACAGCCTCCAAGAACCCATTCGTAGGGAAGATTTCTCCCACTATGCTGGCGTTTAGAGCTTCTTGAGCTGTGTAAACCTTGGAGCGGATCACCAGGTTGTTGGCTACAGTGGGGCCCAGCAAGTGTGGGAACGTGTAGGAAGACGCGAACTCTGGCACGACTCCGATACGCAGAAACGGCGTCCAGAAGGTGGCGCTGTCGGCCGCGTACACGAGATCGCAGTGCATGAGCAGCGTGACGCCAATGCCGATGGCGGGGCCGTTCACTGCGGCTATCAGCAGCTTCTTGCAGTCCAGCATCTTGTGCATGAATGTGTGGGACGGACTCTGCGAGGGCGGACGCACTGATCCGTCGCCCAGAATGGCAGCTGTCTCCTTCACGTCGGCGCCGCTGGTAAAGTAGTCGCCGTGACCCGTGAGTACAAACGCGTGTAGCGAATCGTCGGCCTCGAACTCGTCCAAAGCAGCGGTTAGCTGCTCGTACAGGGCGTCGTTGAAGGCGTTCTTGGCACGAGGACGACACATCTCGACGACGAAGATGCAGCCCTCGCGGACGTGAGTGCGAACCACCTTCTCCTGCTGCTGTGTGGGGCTCATTGCTGTCGTTCGGGTGCGCGCCGGATGGTCGGTTGGATTATGTTAAACGATGTGCTTCCAGCGGTGGATTCGTTTATGTCGACGTATCAAACGTGTTGAAGTTTTACATGACGGTCGCAGGAGTGACAGGCTAGTACGACCAACCCAGGTTGAAGTGCCTTGCAAGAACGAAGTGCTCCTCGCCAATGAGCCGCCGCCGCCTCCACCACTTTCACGCTCTCCGTATTCTTCGCATGGACAGCACCGCACCCATGGGCCCTGCAACCATTGGGCTCGACGAATTTTGACATATCGCTTGCTCACAGTACCAACAGCGATCAGTTCGCTGAACATCGAGTTGACACCGTCGAACACAAACGCACAAGCCGTGCTGGGCACGGCAGGATCTGGACCTAAACACAAGCAGTGCCCTTCGTGGACCAGGAAGATACAGCTTGTTTTAAGTGAACACGTCCGAGATACAGCAAACTTTTTTAAATTGCTTTTTTTATGGGATTAACAGCACGCTACTACCAAACAATAGTTGTTTCTAGTGTTGTAGGTTCACCGGTCTATTTTACTGTTTAGTTCACTACGGACATTCTAGACCAGCACGGGCTTGGGTCTGGATGCGAAGACGACGCGTGTGCGGGCGATGCCCACCACCTCGTACTTGGTCTGTCCAGCTGCATCATTTTCATCTTCAGTCATGACCACGTCTCCATCTGTACTCCCGTCTTTCTGCAGGATAGCAAATGGTTTGGGCAGCTTGGTAACCTTTCCTGCCAGGACGTGGTTGCCAATGCGCAGCGTGATCTCGCCACCTTGACCGTAACGCAGCGTGCCCACATCCAGTCCACGCAGGTCAGGCTTCTCGGCACCGTCTCCCGGGATCAGGTCGCCTTGGAACTCCAGCAAACTCCACTCCTTCTCCGCCGCGTCCACTACCACGGGCACCAGCATAACGGTTAGTGAAGCCTTTTTGGCGGCAAACTCTCATCATTTATATATGGTGTTCACAACACCACTTGAATTATGTGTATCACATAATGTGATGTACTCCACAACTCTATCGGAGCCGCTCATTTCCGGGGGTGACACTACAGGTACAAGGATGCTCGCTCTCGTTCGCTCCAAGGGCCTGATCCGCGCGGCCATGGGCGTCCGCGCCGCCAGCACGGTGGGCGCCACTCTGGATGAGGCGGTGGCTCGTCTTCCGCACAAGGAAGCGCTTCGTAGCGTTACCCAGGACATTCGCTGGAGTTTCAAGGAGCTCAACGCCTCCGTGGACGAGCTGGCCAACGGCTTTTTGGACCTGCAGTTCCAGCGCGGCGACGTGGTGGCCGTGTGGCTTCCTAACAGCGTCGAGAACGTGCTGACGCAGCTGGCTGCGGCTCGCGCGGGTCTGACACTTGCTGTGATCGAGCCCGAAGTGTCCGAGGCCGAGGAGCTCGCCTTCATCCTGCAGGACAGCAAGGCCAGCGGCCTCGTGTTCGAGCCCAAGCAAGCGGGTCGCAACCAGACCGAGATCGTGCAGAACCTGTTCCCCGAGCTGGCTACCTGTGGGATTAGATTAGATGCGTTGAAGTTGTATGCACCGATAAAATGCTGACTGGCTGTGATACTTGATGTTTTGATAGTCCGCGAGCGCATGGAGGTGTTCCGTCCCAAGAACTTCCGCCACCTGCACAGCGTCATCACCACGAGCTGGGAGCCGGTGGAGGGTATGATCAACCTCAATGGAATGATGGTCAACAGCCCCGAGCCGTACGCCATGAAGGCTGTTACCAAGTCGCTCAACGACAAGACGCCCCTGGCTGTCACCTATTCGAGTAAGAAATGTACAATGTTACAGAGGTTTTTCATGGCTAACGGAGATTTCTTTCTGTTATTACCAGAGGTGGAGGGACAGAATCCCAAGAAGAGCACGGTGTTGACCCACGGCGACCTGCTCAAGCGCGCTGAGACTCTGGCCAAAAGGTTCGATGTTGAAGATGTTATAAATTCTGTTTTTTTTTTTACTTATGTCTTTTATTACTTGCAGCCTGAACTTGACTGCAACGGACAAGATCCTGCTGACCGGCGAGGAGACTGGTCTGTCTCTTGGCCCACTCGCTGCCATCAGTCAGAGCGCGCAGGTAGTGCTGCCGTCCACGGAATTCAACCAGGAGGCTGTGCAGCAGGCCATGAAGGTGGAGAGCTGCAGTGTTGTAGGCAGCGGACTTGAGAACTTCAAGCGCGTGTAAATTGAAGACGCTGAAAGGCGACAGATACACACACAGCATCACCTCCCAATTACTGAGCAGATGATGAAATCCAACAAACATGAATCGAGTGAGTCAAGTAAGCGCTCGCATTGTTTCTGATTCTTCTTCTGTTGTGTCCATAAGCGAGTTTTGTTCAGGTACATGAATTTACAACTACATATGAAAAATATTCAAGCCATGAGGATGCCACCAAGACCGAAGGTGATGGTAGCAAGCAGCATGGAGCGCATGGTTTCTTTCGACGTGTAAGGTGGGAGTTCGACCGAGAAGAAGCACGTGTGAGCAACAGGTAGACTGCGCGTGGCATCGCGTCCTCCTTTCTTGGACAACTTGAAAGGCTGTGGCCACTTGCCACGCGGTAGACGACTGCGACCCCATGCGAAGCGAACAAAGTCTGCACGTTGCTCATCTGAGAACTCAGCCAGCGCCTCCCAGAAGAGCTGCACAGTCAGATCATCTTCAGCATATCCGTCATAGCGAGTGTGGCGCTTCCAGAGATCCAAGTCGATTTTAGGCGAGCCACACGCGAGAATCTCGAGTTCGTGCCACGTCAATAGTGTCAATACTCGTCGAGGGAAGAGCATCGCGAACCCTCGAGCCATCGCAGCCACCTGAGCACTGCATTCTTCCAGACGAGCACGCTCTGCTAGTCGACAGTACTCCAATCGGTTGTGGAACTCCACTGTAAGCTGACGACCACCTGGGACCAGTCCAATCTCCTCTCCAGTACAAGACGAAGCCGTGAAGCGTAGCTCCAGACCAGCAAACGCCGTCGCGAACTCTTCTTCGGTTGAGATGCCATCGTTCTCGCAGTTAGCGATCCCGTCCAGCATCTGGATGAACATGGCGTCCGTGTCCTCGAGATCCGCGCGCGTGAGTGTTTGACCCAGCAACTGCTTCCACACCAGAGACGGCAACATGAATGGGAAGTCTCCGTGTGTACGCAGCGAGATGCCGAGTAATTGACCTACAAACGCGAACATTTGCATAGCCACTGGAGACGTGCACTTGGGGTTGGGCAGATACATTCCCCGGTTGTTGCCGGTGTCGTGTTGGCCGTTGGGACACAAGACGAACAAGCTGAAGTGTGGAGAGAACAAGTCGTCGACCATTGACGTGGCACCTTCGCGGTACACTCCGCCCCAGTCTACGCCTTCCTCGCCACGGAACTTGACGCTGAACAATCGACCTTTACTGTCGATTTGACGTCTCAGTAGCGCTGGGTCTACATCATGTAGTTGACGGAAGGCTTGTGAGAAGAAACACTCGGACACGGACGGTTCCACCTCGCGATCATCTCGTGATTCAAGCGCCTGCATCCGATCCAAAGTGATTCGCGCTGTCTGCTGCGAGCTGCCAGAAGTCTCTCCAGGAACATTGGTAGCCTCGACCGCAGCTTCCACTAGCACACTCTTGACGTCGAAGAAGATACAATGACTCAGTTGTCGCAGTCGGTGTGCGATCGTCCACGAAGATTTCGTATCTCGCAGATCCAGTAGTGGCAAGCAGTGGTGTAGACTTAGATTCAGGTACTTGAGCAACGCGAACCGAAGCTGCAGTGACTCCAGCGACAGACCGAGTAGCTGGGAGCATCGTAACCCGTCTAGCGTTTGGTTCAGCTTGATATCTGCTGGTTGCAAGTCGACTGAATGCCTCGTAGTCGCTGGCGTGGTCGCTGACAGCGACGCTCCCGGTTCCACATGGTTGTTCACCCAGTCCACGAGCTGCAAGTCCATGTCTTGAGTCCAGCGATCGTCTTGATCACGCTCTGTTTGCATCAAGGTGAGCTTCTCGAGGAGCTGTCCCATGTCTTGTACTGTCGCGCGAGTTATCTGCTTCTCCTTGGGGATCCCTAGCGCGCTTACCGTAGCAGCAAAGCCGAAGTGATCACCTGCATTTTCGTCAGCATGAAACGTGTACTCGAGGTTGTTGCCGTCATGAGAGATCGGACCTTCCGGCCAGCCACTCTCCCCCGCATACGTCCGGTCGCTACGGATTTCTTTGACAGAATTGCCGCCTTCACTTGGAATCAGCGTAAACGTGGACAGTTCCAGTCGCGACATTCCGTGCCCTTGACCTGGAGCGAGAGAACAGCGAGAGTCGAACGTTATCCGAAGAGCTTGAGCGCCTTCAAACGCCACGAGGCCGCTTAACGGCTTTCCAGCAGTATACGGGTGTGCAGTCTCGATGACTGCGGACGCCCCGTACACTTCTAGCCAGATCGCAACCAAGATATGTTGAGGCAGACGGGAGGTTTGTCCGAGCAAGAATCTCGTGAGCTCCGACACGTCGTTGAGACTGTCGCGCACTCGCTTCCGATCGAAAGGTACAGGTAACTCGAACGGGGCTGTTAGAATAGGTGACGCAGCACCTTCAAGCTTGCACTTGAAGATCGTCGACGCAGAGGATATCACCATCGACAGTTCCACCAATTGCAACAAGTGTGCGGAGAGGAACACCTTGCCACTTGCTCTATCGACTTCTGCACGCGTCAAAGCCAGTCGAGCAATCGATTCTAGCGCATCCAGTTCTGGTACTTCGTCGGCTGGAAACAGCTCAGGATGGTGCAGTAATTGCTGTAGTAAACGCACCACACGGCCCTTAAATGGAGCTCCTGGTGAGCGCAGATAACGTACGAGTGCTCCATAGACTCTGCGGTTATGCACCGCTCCATAGGCCACAAGCTCGATCGCATTGTTCAGCAATAGCTCCAATACCCAGCACGCCCACTCTAACGAAGGACTGGCCAGCACCTCGGTCTCTTTCGTCCAGCGGATGTTCGCCATTGGTTTGACTTGGAAACGATACCCGTAGCCATTATCTTTCGTGGCGTTTTCTTCTGATGCCGAGAAGCGGAACCAGAACTGGTGTGAATGGATGATCAAGTCCGGAACTAGATGACCTGACGTTGTCATAGAGTTGTCCACAACACCGATACGGTCTTCACATTCCGGGTCCGCGAAGAACGTCAGCTTGGCCTTTGGTCCTAATTGACAGCGATGGTCGAATACAATACGCAAGCAGCGATAGGAACTGTCTATGCTGACGGCTCGAGCGTATTCGCACCGGCCAAAGTATGGGTGCAACGACTGGAACTCCTGGACTGACGCCTCACCTGCGCCGTCTCCTGCCATGCGCGTTGACTCCACAAAATGACTGACGCATTCTTTGACGAGCACACTGGATAGCAGACCATCGTGATCATCCATTCCACCACCCAGATAAGCACTGGCAACCTCTTGCGCTTCGGTATCTGACGGCTGACGAGTTCTTCTCATGTGTCTGGGAGGATCTTCACTCTTGCCTTCGTCTTCTAGATCTAGTCCCTCAACAGAAAGTGGTTGGAATTCTTCGATGGACATGGCAATCGCTCGACTCAAATCCTCGTCATTGTCATCTTCATCGTGCTCTGGAACGCCAGGGACCGGCTGAAGAATTAGGTCGCTGCCAAACCCTGGTTCTGTTGTCGGATGAAAGCGAGATAGATTCACTTCGGAGTTCGCCAACTTCTTTGTCCCTGCTTCTTCATGGAGCATTCTCAACGTGATCGTCTGCAGACTGGCTAATAAAGAGAGAGGTTGCTCGTTGCTGTCAGTCGTCGTTGACTTATCCGGAGTCTTTGTAGTTTTCGCTCCAACCTCCGTAGGTTGCGCAGAATTCATCTCGGACGCTGCCACCATCTTCAACAAACTCACAAACTGGCGCGGTCCACCAACGACACTTAGGATCTCATTCGAGAATGAAGATGGCACTATTGGTGGCTTATCTTCGAGATCTTGACCCACTAACGCATCTGAACTGTTGGTTCCGACAGAGTTAAAAGCACAGAGCAAAGCTGTGACAGCGCGTCTGGCATAATACGTGGAAAGCGCATTTTCCGTCCTCAATGCGACGCGATGAATGCTCTCAACGCTCTCCAGCGGCTCGTCGTAGATCCTCACAATACGCCGCAAGTCGCGTGGGAAGTGCCACTCATCTTCGTACGCGCCAGACTCGGTGTTCAGGAACGTGATCAGCAAACCATCGTCAGGAGAATATCGCCTGTATATACCGGTTCGGCCACTTGTTGCTAATCGCTGGACTGGTCCAATGTCGCTAGTCACCGTCAGAAGAACATTAGGAGTCAAATAGTCCGGATCAAGTGGCGAGAAAGCAGTAATACTCGCGTCGCGTGCTGTTGTAGTAGAACTGGGTTTAGCAGGTCCAGGAGCCAAGATCGGAGCAAGAGTCACAGCCATCGCGTCGACATTGGGGGCGTACGACAGCTCTGCGGTTTTCGTGGAAGCAGCCGAGCCCAAATACTCAGCTGCGATAGCGTCCTGGCGACCAGAAGTCGTGACAAGCGGGTCTGGTTGATCGATTTCTTCCATTGCAGCTCGATCTTCGAGGACGACGGTCCTTGCAGCGGAGAACGAGTCCGTTAACAGGTCGAGCGAATCGAATTTCTCAGCGTAATTGCTGCCGTGCTCCATCAGCCACTCCATCGCGCGATTGGGGTCGCTATTCGACAGTTCCAGCGCACAAAAGGCAAGGCAGTACGGCATCCCAGAGATATTCTGCAGCTCCGCTGCCTTGACTTCAAGTGTAAGCCCGGGACCTCCTTCTCCTTCAGCTGACTCATGCGCTGCAATACTGGCCTGTGCTAGACGCTGCGCTTCTTGACGCTCCTGGTACGTAACTGCACCGTCGCCCATCAGCCACTCCACCGCCAAATTCGGGTCATCTCGAGAGTGTTCCAACGCAGCCATACACAATTCAAACTCAAAGCCCATCGCAGCCAAAGTGGACGCGAACCCTCTGCGTACACGATGAGCTTCAGTCTCCTCTTCTGCGGGGTCATCGTTGACTTCAACACTACTAGAAGGACTCGTTGGTTCAGCTGCAATTGCCGGCGCTGTCGGCTCGTTTAACCCGTGAAACATCGCTCCTCCAAGTGGCGTTGAAGACTCAATCAACCGACAAAGAATCATTCGACCTCTCTCCTGTAGCACCGGTAAAGTCACAAAGCTATTGAGACTGATCGGAGTCAAAGCAAACCGGAGAAGATTCTGCGCCAGAGTATCATGCGCAAAGCTCTTCGTCACATCCAGCGAGTTGCGTAGCAGAGCTTCAAGAGCCAACAGCGCACGCGATCGAATCTGCAGTTTCCACAAGCTGTCAAAGTCTTTCAGTACGCTTGTCTCGTCCAAGGATGCGAGCTGGAGAATCACCGGCATCATGTCCAACGTAAGTGGAGCTGCCGTTGGGGACAAACAAATCTCCTCAGTCGGCGACAAGGACGACATCTTGACGTCTTGGACATTGTGACCAGGATCGAAGTCAACTTCTGACGACGTAGGGTGAAAAGCAACGCGAACTGTCGAGGCGTGTGAGCTCATCTCGATGAGCGTAGCGCTCACCAACTGTGCACTACCATCGGCACTTACACCTGTCCCGTTTCCATCGGTACCTTGAGCAGCGACAGCGACTTTCCCGCCGATGCGGATGCAGTCTGAGTGGGACCCGAGCACGCAAAGAGCGCCTACAGCTCGGATAATTGCTGCCCGGAAGCGAATATCCGACGGGTCTGCACTTGTTCTCGCATCTGGAGACGGTGGGCCGGACTTCTTTCTAGCCAGAATCGGCGTAATATTACGAATCGCGTTGCACAAGTTCTCCGCAACTCCTTGCTGCCATTGTTTCTCCATCAGTAGTCGTCGTAATAGCGCCACACTTTCCGAGGCCACGACCAACGAGATTTGACCAGAATGGAACCCGATTGGGTTGCTTAAAGACTCTGTGGATGCCATCGAGACGTCTGTCCCGACCAACGCGCTGCTTGCGGGGACATTGACTGCATGGGTCGCCATCGGTGCTGCTGTGCTACACACGGACTCAGCTACTTGATCCAGTAGCAAATCAATCAGCACGGACTCGGAGCCAAGGATGGCACCGACATCGGATGGCTTGACGCTGCCACTACAACAGATCCGACGGAGAAGAAGCTTGACGACGCGCTGGGATCGAGGAGACGCTAGACGAAGCATTTCAAGCAGTCCTCGAAGCATATGTGGACGCACTAGATGTGTTATCGCTGGGTGTTGCTGGCTCTGAGAAAGCATGAACAACAACACCCCGAACAAGTGCGTCTCGACTTCCAAAGGCTCCAGTACATCGCTGTCTCCTGTTAAATCGCTCGGAGCATGGTGGATGTTCACAAATCCAGACTTGCCACCCGCTACATCGCTCGGATACTGACGAAGGCTTGCGCCTCGCTTTTGAACTGGCGTTGACACAGAACGAAGCATCCGCTGAGCGCGCGTCAGGCCTTCAGCTTCTTCAGTTAACTCTTTGCCTTGAATCAACTCCTTCTCCAGAACTTCAAACACCTTGCGGTGGAATTCTTTGGAGAACCACAACGTCTGAAGCACAGGCTCTTCCAGTTCTCTGTTCGTCGCTGCACTCTTGGCTGCATCACTTGCAGCTTCCGCTGTGCGAGCAGCAACGTCTTCACTTGTAAAACCCGAACTCGGGGCTCGTACGTCAGAACCAACAGAAGCCATCACATTACTGGAGCTTCCAGCCTTCTGAAGACGCTGCTTACGCTTCAATTTAGCCACAGCAGCTACGGACTTAGCTTCTCCCTCGCGTCGTTCGTAAGCACCGCTTATCCCAGTGGAGGCTAAGAAGCGAAACACAACCCACGCGCATCTTCTCGTCTGCTTGCGAATAATCATCTGCTCGTCAGTGCAAGCTCTCCATTGACAAAGCAGTTTGCTCGTAGTCCCATCCATCAATTGGCTATTCCCTCCACTCTCGTTTTGGCCACTCAAGTACGCGTTATCACTGTCCGACAAGTCCACGCTGTCGCCGTCGAGTCGAGATAATTGACTCCACTTTTGAACTGCAATGCGCTCATCGTGCTCACACACCAGTTTCGATAGCCTAACAGACCCGTTAAACTGGGTTGATAGCCATGACCGAACCTTCCGTTGGAAGGAACGAATACATGACATTACTCGACTCCATTCACTCGGCGACATGTTGTCCAGAGTATCATTTCCGAAGACTGGTATGTTCGCAGGAACCCAGCGACAGTGCGCGATGGTGGAATTGAACCCTCTATCTTCAAAATCTTCACTTGCTGCTTTCAATACTGGAGCGCAATCATAGCCACAGATCCCTTCTCCTTCCGTCAAATGCCACAAAGTGATCATATCTCTGGAAAACACCTGCATTTGGGATAAGGATTCAGTTGGGCTCACTAAAGGAATACTGCGCTGGAAGTCTTGCGCGATATCTTGGTTACTACGTGATACTCTCCAAACCCGAACTTCAGCAATTGAGCCCCTGAACTTCCGCTGCGCCGAGATGTTCGTGAGTGCAGCGCCTTGTGCGTCTACCTCACTCATCCAGCAGCCAAGTCGAGAATCACGGAAGTTCACACAGCAGCATACACGTTCATATGCCATTTGCTCCACCAACATTCCGTTCACGAACAACTGGATACACTTCTCAGTTGCATTGTAAGTCACCGCACAATGAGTCCACTCGAAAGTCCGGAACTGGTGCGAGCGAAACAATCGCTCACGCGGGAAATTGCCTGGGATTGATAGCTGTAAATTCCGATCAATTAATTCCAGGTAAACGCTGCCACTTTGAATGCCATTATCGCATCGCAAGGCTTGACATCCAGCCAGTTCAGTCGGGAATATCCACATTTCGATCGTAAAATCTTTCACTTCGCCCAACGCTGGCATCTCTACGTAACTCACTTCGTCAGGCTTGGGATTCGATGAGGACTGGGCACCACGGCCAGTAGTTGAACTCATCTTGGCCCCGAAATGAAGTACTTTGGAAGTGTGGGTACGAGATGGTGGACCGAGTAACTTCTGCTGTAATCTGCCCAGCATGTCAGCATACAGTAATGCTAGTGAGGACGCTGTGTGGCGAGCTGTTAACGGCACTGCATCGGTTGTACTCTCCACATCAAGCTCGTTCTTCTTCCACCATTCCGCTGAATATGCATAGTGAGGAGCTCGATGTAGAAGACGAATCACATCACGCTTGGTCATATACCCGCTTCGAAGAAGACCTTGCTGGACGAATTCCTCTGACAAAGGATGCCAATTGATGCTTGAATACTCATTATACGACAGAGTGTGGCTCGAGGAGCTGCTGTTAGCTACTGCCTCTCGAAGAACCGAGCTGATGGAGAAGATTTCTTGCAGCTTGGACAGTATTCCCGTGTCAAGCAGGAATTGATGATCCCTTGGCTCAAAGTCCAGACTCCAGGCGCACAGAATCGTTTGCTTCAGCTGTGGATCCGACACAGTATAGCTCGAGCTCCCACCGATAAGTTGTGCCAGGTAGGAGTAGAGATCGCAGAAAGCGCTTTGGATGCTCTCGATTGTCTGCCGATTACAGCCTTCCAGGCCCTTCAAATAATGGTGGCGAACGGTAGCTCGGAAGGTTTCTGCAACGATCTGGCCGTCATTCAGCTCACGAGACTCTTTTTCGCTCTCAGTAAACCCTCTCATGGCTGGGCGCAGGAAAATAAGAGCGTTGTGGATAGCCGAATCATACGACAGCAACGATATAATGCTCTTTATCGCTTGAAGACCGAAGAGTCGAGAATCCAATCGACGCTGGCGTCTCTCCAACAGCAGTGAGAGCACTTCAGGTGGAGCTCCAGTCCCGTCACGAATGTATAACTCGCAGGCCTTCATCATGGCCGAAAAGCTGTTCGTGTAGTCGTATTTCTTCCTCACCAGGTCATCAGATCCTTCAATATCTGCGCTGGCGTCACTTTCAGAGGGTTTCAGGGCGCTTGTTGGCACAGCATGTCCATGTATGGACGCTCGTCGAGCTCTCCAGCGATGCTGAGCACGCAGCACATCTACAATTCCCGACCATTTCGAGCTGTCCGCTTCGCCTAGCGTCTTCCAGCGTTCGAGCATCGGCTGCAGTGATGGAGGCGTTGTCTGAGCACTCCACTTCTCTGCTAGATTAAACAGCGCCATCTGCGAGTCTCCTTTGAGACGCTCTGCTTCCTCAGACGGTGGCGCCAGCTTACACAAAAACTCTGCTCGTTGAATCACCTGCTTCACCAGATCGTCGAAAGTTTTTGGCATCACCACGCTTTGCTCCAGATCAATCTCTTTCCTCAACTTCTTGGCTAAATCGCATTGGTCTTTCGTTAGCTCTTGCTCTTCTGTCGAAGCTGAATGGGCTGGCGAAGGTTCATCTGCTTGTCTCGCTCGATACTCCTGTCTAGCTTTGATCAGCCAATGGCGAAGCATTATGATCCGCTTCCAAACTTTAATCAGGTCATCGGAAGGAGTTAAATCCGCGTGAGCAAGAAAGAACTCAGCTCCAACAACTTCGCCAGTTGCGCTAGCGCCAGCCCCCGCAGCAATAGCCTGGACCTCTTGGCGTACGTGCGATGGAGCATGCATGATTAAAGCAGCACACATCCATCGTTCACAAGACGGGAATCTTCCAAGACGACTCAAGAAGGTACGGTCGGGGCTGTGCTTTTCTAGCCACGACATAATAAGCTGCACGATTCCACCCTCAGTCATGTCTGCCGTCCAAAGTCCCCAAAAGCCAGAGTCGCGCTGTCTAACAGCTTCAGCTTCTAAGCGTCCGCCAGAGCTACGTTTCCTCAAGACAGATTCACTCTCAACGTTTTGAGGCAAAGATCTTGTTCCAGCTGCGTCTTCACTTGACGGATAGCGGTCATATTCGGCTTGTAGTGCATCACTCCAACGCATGGCGGATTGATCTTGTCCAGCGCAACTCTCAGCAATTCCTCCACTAAGTAGAGGTGACTGCAACCAAGGTAACAGCTCTTCCTCGACGCCATCAATGGGGTTCCCGGCAATCAGTGTGCTAGCTATACGACCTGCGAGCGATGCTAGCGAGTTATGCAAGTCGAATAGCCAATGGATACAAAGAGTTGACTTCGCGATTCCTGACGGACGAACATGGACGACATCTTGCGCTCCGTAGAGTGACACGCCAGCAGTCACCACTTCAGGTAATCTGTCAATTGTCGTTCCAAGCGGTTGGAACTCCTGAGGCCCTACTGCAACTCCAATGTTCTTCCCGTTGTACGCGAACAAGAGCAGCTGTGAATCGTAGTCGATTATAACCGTAAAGATATCACCGGCAGCAACCGAAAGCTGTGGACCGTAATCATACCGCTTTCCTTTTACCCAAACAGCGCCAATCGACGGCATCCAGCCGATACTTGATAGTGTTTCTCCCATAAACGTTTCGTAACTCGATCGCTTGGACACGATGCCGGTCTGTGGCCGTCGCCAGTCAACTCCGACACAGATATGGCCTGATACTGTGCCTCCAGCACGCGAGCATTTGAGCGCGAAGTCAACAGAATGCATGCCATGAAGAAACGCCGTTCGCAATAGACAAGTTCGCCAGGTATCTGTGCCATCTTTCACGTACGCAGACGTTCCTGTGTGGCTGATGCAGACCGAGTTCAGCTTCTTGTTAGTGTTGAATCGGAGCGAAAGGCAGCCATGTGGCGGGATAAACCGTGGCAGACTCGCCAACGGAATCTCATCCTGTACCAAGAACGTTGGAACTCCGTATGCAGCACCCATCATGTTCTGCGATCCCGGAAAACCCACAGATCCGGATGCGTAGCAGTCTCGCAAGATCTTGATGAAGGACTCATCGTATTCTTCATCGGGTAGATTCTCTTTCTTGTACCACGGATCTCCTCCATTGGCAAACTCTTGAGTGGTTAACCGGTACAGTTTTCCCTGCGTAATCCTCGCAGGTGACGGGATCATCTCCAGCGCATACCCTAACGCGTCCTTTTTGGAGCTTCCTCCGACTGTTACTTGAGCAACAAGTAGCTGTGATCCCTCTTCCCACAACCGAATTGTGTGCTCTCGTGTTAGCCTTCCACCATGTCTCGTTGGATTGACAGAGCGACCAAGCGCGACGATACTAAACGAGCTTGTGGCCTCAAACTGGAACCCAATCTGACCTTCAAAATGATCCTTTTCTCCGGTATAAAGTTGATGAAACACGTTATATAACCGCTTGGATGTGTGTGATCGGAAACTCGGATCCCTTTCGAACGCAGCAGCGCGCTCCATTTCGTGAGACTCGATCAATCTTGCCTTCTGATGGGATTCCAGTTGCTGGAACCGGTGTGCAGACTTGCTAGCAATATGAGATTCTGAGCAGTAGTGGTCCAACGCCTCAAGAAGCATTACAACAGCAGGAAGTATTGGTCGAGCGAGCCATGTTTGTCGACGTAGCAGGCATAGGCACGACACGAACCACGGGAAGACCTCTGATAGCAACGGGGTTTTAAACGAACGAACACTTGCTTGGCGAGCGGCTGCAGTCTGGGAAAGCAGGAACGACTCATCGGCCTGGAAGGCGACGATACTGTCGACCAGATCTCGATATGCGTTCAGAGATAGAAATCCGAATTGGATCGTTGCTTCCTGGACTTGAAGTCTTCGTTGCAGCTTCACTCTCAGCTCATTCGCATCTTTCGGACTTGCCGGATCGTCCTCAATTGCATTCGTCTTCGTCGATTCAATAGCCTCTGAGAGCAGATATAATTGATATGTTTTGAGCAGGGATATGGCTACGTTGGAAAGCCCATCGCCTGTCGCAGTCGACGTGTCATTATCCGTTGCAATTTGCCTGTGATCATTCACCACGACCTGCATTAGAAGCCCAACTGTTTCTGTTACTGCCGCAAGCCATGCACCTTCATCGGTATTCTGGAACCCGGCCCCTCTACTCTTGGCTACCTCAGCGGCCATAAAAGGCATGAAGGTCAGTATTCCATCTGGGCCTGGGGCTGCAAGAAGCTTCATCACTGATGCCAGGACAAAGAAGCTGGCTGAAGTTATATCAAGTGGGTGTTTGATGTATAATCGCAGCAATTGAAGCAGCAGCTCCAGTTTATCAAGCGCAGACGGATACAGGACAGAGATACCAGCCACAATCGTCTGAGCGGCGGCCTTGTCGATATCATATGATGAACTCTCGCCAGGGCCTTTCGATTCTTCATGAATGCATGCAATGGCTTCAAGTTCTTGTCGTAGATCAGCGACCAAATCAGACGACACACCCAGTTCAGATGCGAGATCCTTCACATCATGACGCCCAATGCTCTCCAAGTTGGCACTAATAATTTCCAAAATATGCGCACAACCATCACGAGCGTGTTTTGCATCCTCACCCTCTCCAAACGTACAGCATTGCGCATGGTATCGCTGAAGAATGGCGAGTAATAAGGAAAATACATCCTTGCTGGGCTGGCGGCAAAATGGCTCTTCAAACTGGACGGTGGGCTTCGCGGATGCTATCAACGAGCTTGACTGTATCGATTGAAGCTGGTACAAATCGTAGATCTGACTAATGATTGCGGTGCCAAGATCTCGGAGAGACTCCGACTTCTGAACGTCATCTTCACTCACGAACGCTGTCGATACTTCTTCGCTCGCCACACCAGCTGAGGTGGCAACATCCACCGACGTCGAACTTTCGTCGCGAGTTCCATTTCTGCAAACTGTGCACACTTTTGATGCGCCTTTGTTGACAAAAGAACAATTCGAGCATGCCCATTCCTCAATAGGATGCAAGGAAGGGTCGACCCATATCGCATGCGCGCAGTGATTCGAGCCCGAGCAGGACACCTTAAGCTCCAGCATCCGCACGTTGTTCACGTTCACTTCAAACGGCTCGATCTGATGAGTTTCAGACATCTGCTTCGACTGCCACAGCAGTTTATCGTCGCCAAAGATCTTGAATACCAGCGAAACCCCACGAGTCTGGAGGATTTCATTGCGCGTGTCGTCATTGATGGCGACTGCACCTCTGATCAAATAATACGCTTCAGACAAGTCGTATATGACATAGGCATCGCCGTGTGATGGTGGGTGAGTCGATAGACAGCGCTGCTTTGCCTCACCATTGATGTGAATCAAAGTGCTACCGGTAGGTGGTGCATTTCCCGATAGATTATTGGGGTCACCGTTGCTCGCATACCCCAACTGACTCCCCTTCCCTAGTGTTCCGTATCCAACAGAGAAATGGTGTTCTCTCATGCTAGATAGGAATACTGGGTCAATATCAGCTGGTCCAGAGCTAGCACAGTCCCACTTGGTAACTCCAAGCAAAGTAATTACTTTCCCAGAGCCGTAGAATGACACAGCAGGATGTACCTCGTGGCCAACAAGATCAGTAAACACGACGCCATAATCCGTCCCATTGATCTTGTACGCTAATGTGCCTTCGCCCATATCAATATCCACTTGAACAATATCTCCAGGGTGTACTTTACCTATAGTTCGAGATAGTTTGTGTCCACGAGCGTATAAATTGCCATTGTAACCCCGAAGCATCCACAGACTGGGGGACGAATCATAACCATTCACAGTCACAGGAAGGATAGCAGCTCCAAAGCAAGTCATCTCGTCGTCCTGTGTGTCCGTATCAAGACGGAATTTCCACGAGGCTTTTCCAGAAGATATTCCACAATTCACAGCTGCATACTGGTAACTCGTTTCTCGTGTTCGAACAACAATACCTCCATCCTCGACAACTACGCCAGTAGAGCACACAGACGACTCGAAAACGGCGGCAACTCTGCGAACATCACCAAAGCCGACCTTATCTCCTTCATGCTTCAATCGCTGTGATTTTTCCCGATGATAAGCGTTGATTCCCTTCAGGAGGAGAAGTCCTTGCTCCAGTGCAAGCTCTGCTATTCTACACCGGCGTGGATCTTCGTTGTCAACTTTAAGGCGTAGAAGCAAATCCACAAACAGCATCGTAACTTCAAGCGATGCTGTTGCCAACGCCCAGGCCCTCAGAGCTCCAATTGCTTCTGTCGCCATGATCTCATCAGCAGTCTCCAAAGCACCAATAAGCCAATGAGCAATAGCACTAACAGTTGACTTGGGATCGGCAAACAGAGAGCCAGGAGCGGGCATATTCAACCGCAGATGCTCAATCGCGTACGTTCCATTACGGTTCGAAGCTGGCGTCCCCGCCATGACAACTCGAGCCTCTTGACACGACGGTGGGAAGCTTGTTTCGATCGAAGTAGCGCCAGACGGAAAAACGCTTCGGTCCTCCACCAGTTGAATAAAACGGTCACTCCCCTCGGGACGGTATTGCACACCGACAGTTTGCGGCGCATACTTCATGTGCCAATGAATCACGATGGACGTCACCTTCTCCAACTCCGTCGACTTTACCATAAAATACACAACGCCAGGTCTCGGTTGTGACTGCCAGAATGTGTTTTCCACCCCATCTACTGCACCAAACGCTCCATGCGAATCCGAACTGGACGTCACAGACGTGGCCTCCACCTCTTCTTTATCCAACAGCAACACTTTATCCGGCGGCTTTTTCATCGGACTCCAGAACGAGAACAACGAAAGCACTGGGAAGCACGTTAATAGCTGCGACAGCTCTTCAAAAGACCTCAATGCCTGTAAGTTGTTATAATCAAATGCCCCCAGCAGCGCTCCCAGTGTGTGGATTGCTAAATGGTGCAGTTCCTCGTTCCCCGGTGCTGTTTCCACTGGTCTTGGGATCTTCTTCACTCCATCATGGCTCATGAGTTCACAGGCGATCTTTGTACTGTGCGATATCACAGCTAATCTCCTTTCCAGCACGTGAGTGAATACTGGAGTGGGTAGAGCCTCAATGAGCATCTCTTCTAGAGTCCTAATTGATCCCTTCTCAGTGCCGGATTTGTCCACAACTCCGGCGCTCGTCATGTTCCTATAGTCAGCCACACTCTGACGACACTTGAGCTTTCTGTTCTTGTGCATTCGGTGCTCTGTAGGCAGATCACCTGCCGTGTTTTCGCCGCAGATAAGTGAGGAGATAAATGCGTCCTGCAGAACGTTGGCCTGCAGCTGACGAAGATATTCCTCACTCTGTAGAAACTCGTCCCAACTGGTAGCTGTTGTGTACTGTAGTGGTGCGAAACACACGGCGCAGGACCGTGTGCGTCCCGAGTGAAGGCGTGCGGGTTTGGGCATCCAGCCATCCTCATCGTCTCCCGTCCCCCAGGTTTCAGACGGCGGCATACCTTCGCTTATAGATGCAGATACTTCTTCAATTGGCCCTGGATCGCTTGTGTCGGCGCTAGAGCTCGCCACAGCGGCGTCCGCGCGCACGGGATCCAGCTCTTCCGCCTCCATGATGATCAATAGGTCTTGTCGTACTCAGAAAGATATCGAACGATCTCATTGGATGAAAATCATAACAACCAATCAATGACTAATATTTTGTCGCTTCAACTTAAATACAACTTGTACGGGGCGATTGAACAATGCATCCCATATATAAAGTTTTGCTTACTTCTCTTTCTTCTCTTCTTTCTCTCCTTCTCTTGACGTGGAGAGGGTATCGATAGAACGGCATCTACAATGCTTGCGAGCCGTTGAGTGTCCGACGAGTACCGCCGTTGACGTTGAGACCAGCTGGAGACTCGAAGTTCGAGTAGCTTCCCTCCTGCGGAGTCAGAGCTGCTGCCGAGTAGTGCGACGACGATCGACGTACGTTGGAGCGAGAGCGCAGGAAGCTCTGCGAACGAGACACACGAGCCACGAAGGACGGTCTGTTACGAGCCGCCTCGGCGTCCTTACGCATCTTCTTCTCGCTCTTGAGCTCAATGGCGCCGTACTTGGAGCTGGCGCACACCACGAACATGAAGACCGTGAGCAGTAGACATAGACCAGCGAAGATCAAGTGGCTGATGGCGAACGACGGCTCCACCACGTAGATCGCGGCCTGGACAGCGTAGTACACGACGAAGGACATGATGATGTATCGTCCATTCTGGTACGGAGGGAACACCTCGATCGCAGTGAGCCACGTGCCACACGTGAGACTCAACGCTCCGCTGACGAAGGCTACAAACACCAAGATCTGAGTGATGACACTATCCTCTTGTTCAGCGAGTCCCATGGCGCCACAGGCGAACGAAAGTGCGGCAGAGAATGGAAGCACGTCCTTGAAGATGGTCTTGCGACGAAGATTGTCCACAGTGAGCAAGCTCAACACGGCGCCGAGGAACGTCATGATGCCGTAGTAAATCTGCCACTTCGATGTCTGCGCGCCAGCTTGGGTAGGAGACGGTTGTACGAGCACACGGTGCAGCAACGCACCCGAAGTGAAGATCGCAAATGTCGCCTGCAACACAATGACCAGCACGATACGGAACGGCACGTTCACACGCCCGCTCTTGACCACGAACGAGTCCTTCAGCTCGCTGACCTCCTCAATCACGTCATGACGCTGACGCAGACGCGTCAACGCTGCTTCAGCCACCTTGGTGTCGTTTCGACGACGGTACTCCCAGTAGTGGCTCTCCGGAAGGAAGAACATGATAGGAACGAGCAGCACGATCGGAATGATACCGAAGATAAACTGCCACTGCCAGTCATGGTACGGCGAGTTGCCCCAGTCCTCCTCCATGGTCGTGGCGTTGATGTTGTTAAGAAGCACCGCCTCGATCATGTAGCCCAGAGCAGCACTAGTGAGGAAGATCAGCACGCCCTTGCCCTTCCAGCCCTGCATACAGATCTCGAAGTTGTACAGAGGACACACGAGCGAGAGCATGGCGATACCTGCCGATGCTAAACAGATTCCGATCAGCACCATTGAACTGGACTCCAGCCACACGAGCGCACAGCCTGCAAACGTCACCAGACACGAGGCCTCGATCGTCCAGCGGCGACCGATTACGTGAGCCAGTCCACCACTCAAGATGGCACCCACAGCAGCGGCAGCAGCAGCGTAGACCTTGATCATAGTCAAGTCCAACGCGCCGTCCAGTGTCTCGTTGTTGTAGTAGATGAATGACTCGTTCACAAAGTTGTCTGACGATGAGTTCACGTATCCCAATGAGAAGATGAGGCACGTCAACCAACCGTACGTGAAGCCACCCAGACCACCCACAACCACACTCAACGAGGCTGCGAACTCACTGCCAGAGCTCAGTGCACGAGAGAATCCGCCGTTGTACATCATACGCGTCTGGATTGTCTTCATGAACGGGAAAGCCGACAGCACCAAGAGCGGGATCGCGAGGAACAGGCCCACAATCACGTCAAAGAAGAAGGCAAGTTCACGCACAAGGCCCCACTTGGCAACAGGCAAGCCGAACAATCCGTGAAGCAGTTGCAGATAGTGTAAAAGCGAGAATAGTCCGGTGAAGATAGCCACAGTCAGCGAGAAACACTTGATTCCGTCCCAATCTTGCATCGGACCCACGATAAACGGGGCCACACCGATGATCACAACCATCAGCACGTACAGCATCGCACGCGGAACACGCGCTTTGTTGCGCAAGCACATTCCCAGGCCAAAGCCACCGATCCACAACACGATAGCAATAGCGCCAATACACGCCAACAGCATTCCAATGTCGCTCAGGCTGAACGAGTAGATGAAGATGTAGTACATGACCAGAGGGTGACGGAATTCACGGACAGCGTACACAAAGCGGCTCATGGGGCCAATAGGGTACATGAGGCTGGCCTCGTAGTTGTAGAAGTCGTTCCACGTGTCTCTCGGGGCCGAAGGACTGCTGCTCATGTGGTTCGGCAACAGTCTTTCCTCCTCCTCTTCCTCCCGCACAGACATGAGCCATGAGAACCAGTATGTGATATCCACACGTGTCTTGGAAAAGTCTAACCCGTCCGTGTTGAACAGGAAGGGCGCAAGCAGCCAACACGTGCCGAGCAGCCATACAGCGAACGAAGCGATGCCATAGTCCTGGCCCTTGGAGCTGTACGAGTTCAGCAGCGTGATATTCGACGGGATCTGGTCGGGGTCAGTGTCGCAATCGAAGTCTGCAGTGGCACAATACTCGGCCAACACATTCGTACCAATACTGAAGTTACCGTACGTTCCAAAGATGATCATCAGACCCATAAGCTCCACAGCCTTGCGGTAGTGCGAGGCAGCGTACTCCTTATAGAAGTTTACCATAGTTTCACGAACGATAGCGAAACCACGACCGGTACCACGGTACTTGGAGCCACCACGCATGATGGCAATATCGTAGAAGTGCGACTTCGTGCCAGTCTCGAAGATGTAGAACACAGGACCGAGCGTCACAATCAGCTCTACAAAGTTCACCACAGCCTGGTGCCAACCGTACTCCACGAACAGCGTGGCGATCAGCGGAATAGTCATCAGCATGCCGAACTGAAAGATAAACTGGGTGTTCATCACCTCGGCGAGATCGTCGAGATAGCTCGTCGTGATAATGGCAGACTCTTCGATTTCTTGGTGCAGCACGATGTACACCTTGCCGTACGCATACGCGAACACACACAGCACAACCAATGCGTTACAGATGTAGAAACCCATGTGGCCGTAGAACATCGAGTTCAAGCGGAAGAAATCCATGCCAGCACCCATTCGGTGAGACTCGCGACTCAGGGAACTTTCAGCGCTACCGTTCGACAACTTGGCCTCAAAAGCGTTAATCTGACTCAAAGTCACATCACGTCCTTTACCGCACTGCATGAACTCTTGATGGGTGACCTTCTCACCGCGAAGCGCCACGTTATAACCAGCAAACACATCCTCAGACAAATTGATACCCTTGCTAGCCTTCGACACACCACCGTTGGACATCACAAACGATTTCTCGAACACATCAGGGTGACCGTAGTGCATACGACTCTGGAGAGGGTTCGCCAGTACACGCTGGGTCAAACTCACGAACACCAGCTCTTGCAGCGTCATGAAGTGCGCCAAAGATGATGCTCGGCCTGTGAAAATGTGCTCCTTCATACCAATAACGGTAACATTCTGTCCGTTTTCCGTAGCTGTGGCCAGGAAGTTGGGGATCTTGAGCGCTTCTTCGAAGTAGTGCTCCTGGTTCATATCAATTGTCTGCACATATTCACCACGCGTGAACGGCAGGGCGATGTTCTGGTTCTCAGGTTTACCCTCACCAACCATAGGGTTGCCAGGTAGCTCATAGCGGTATACCTCAACGATCTCGTCGCCATCCGACTTGACCAACACACAGTCAAAGCGAGGTTCGGTGCCACTGCCAGCGGGCGGGCGAATCGTGTCGACGTAGCTCACACGCCAGTTCGGGTACTTGCGCATAAGCAAGTCGATATCTGCAGCACGCGAGTCTCCAGCAGCGAGTTGATCAGCGTAAATCTGGCAACTGGTCACGTACGAGAACTTCAAGCCAGCAATGCGATCCATGTGCTTGATTTTTTCCAAGTGAGAGATGTTCTCGTCCGAGCCAATCTCCAGCCAACGCAACATCTTCAATGCATCCTCGTACATCATCATTCCATGCACCGTGCGAGCCAACGTTTGTCCTCGCATCGACGCCCAAAGACGAACCTGCGTTGGCGTCTCAGCAAGAGCTTCGTCCATCGAGGCCACACCCACACGCTCAAGGAAGTTGCCCCACTCATCGTCGTGGAAAGTAATCAGGTACTTGAGAATGCTGAGATCGCGTCCCTTCTGCTCCACCTTGCGGAAAAGTGGATTTGAGTCCACACGTCCGTTCAACTCGTCCACAGAGAACAGCACGGTTTCGTTGTAATACGGCGTGACCACAGAGAACGACTTCATCGCAGCAATCGAGTCGATGGTCGGGATCTTCATGTGCAGAGAGTTCAGGAAGAAACTCATGCGACGCTGTGCCTCGTGGCAACGTGGCAGCGCATCAGCAGCATCCAGCGTCAACAGGAAAAAGAGTCGCGTGGAGAGCGACACAACACTCTCGTTCGAACTTGGAGAGGTCGTACGTGTAGGCGAGTTCGAGTCGCGCTGACTGATACGGTCAGCAAAGATCGACAGCAGCTGCTCCTTCTGGTAGGCGAGGTCAGGCGTCATCTTAGCGAATGCAGACTTACGTAACTTCTCCGCCATCCACTCTTCCTCCAGCATAAGCTCAATGCTCTTCAGTAGAGCATCCACACGCTGTACGACAACTAACACCTGGTCATGCGGGAAGCCGAAAGCGGTGCCTGTAGGCCCAACGGTCGGCTCCGGTAAGTCCAGAATGCTCGCAAGCAAGTCGACGACATTTTCGCGCACCAGTCCGATGTGAGTGAGGTTCACGACGCCACTGACTCTGCCTCCAGCCAAGATCTGGTGGAACACACCAATTAGTTCCGTGTCCTGTGGGCCCAAAAGCTGTCGCAAGATCTGGAACATGATGTCGACGCAGTTATTGGCACATCCGAGAACTCCAGCCTTCTTTAACTCCTTGAACAATTGGCCGTCACTCATACGCTTCGTCTTAGCTCTAGCAGCAATATCCGCAGCCGCTTGAGCTTCACCAGCGATCAAAAACACAGGTTCCTCGACAGCTCCAGTGTCTGAGATCTGGTACTGAAGGATGGCAGTCTCACGGTCGTCCAGTAAATCCGACAAGCGGAAGCTGCTCACAACTTCGTTCCACACGACAGCAAAGCGCAGACGACTGTTGGCATCAGGAGCGACGGAACTGGACGACAACGGGTTGTTGTTAATGGCCAGCTGGCCACGGGCAGCAGCAGAGACAATCTTCTCATCGAACAGATTAGGAGCTTGCTGAAGACGCTTGACAAACTCGTTTATGCGAGCTGAGTGACCAATCTTGAGACGGAAACCGATCCAAGCGCCCACGATAGCCTGTGCAATAGCCAGCCAAATCTGGGAATCGTAGATGTACACGAGCACCACAGGAGCCCACATTGCCGCCAGGAACGCAATATTGTGGTCCGATTCGATGATTCCATTCTCTAACTGAGCAGCGGATATATCCACATTGTAGATCTCCACACTGGGTCCAATAAGAGGTTTCACCATAAGTTGCAAGTTAAACATGAACTTGCACACGAAGATAATGGTCCAGAACGTTCCATAGCACAGGAAATCTCCCCAGCTCTGACCCATCGTGCGGCCAATGTACTGCTCACGCGTGCCGTCCATTGAGCTCAGGAATGCTGACCTCCAGATAACTCCACGGAAGAACATCTGCACAATGGAAACGATCACGATCGGCGCCATGTACGCACCAATGAGCATTGGGCCCATTGAGAGCAGGTCGTTGGATCCCACAGACTTGTACGGTGCCACGTTCACAGCCGTGAAGAGGCCAAAGAAGACCGTGTGCCACACAAGCCGGATAAACACCGACACGGCGTACATGATGCGGCTGAAGATGCGTGTGCCATCAATCCAGACGTCTAGCACCACCTTGAGCGACAGCAGACCACTAATTGTCATAAAGATGGAGTAGAAGGCGTGGTTCCGGATGTCCTCGATGTCGGACGTGAAGAAATTCGAGTAAAATTTGAATCCGTCCGTGTCGTCGGGGTCCGAGCGATACGCCACGTAGGCGATAACCACCAGTATATGCAGCATCACAAACAGGAAGAAGTAGATGCGGAAGAAGGCCAGAATCGGGTTGCAGAAGCTGCGGCGCTCCTTGAACGACTTGTAGTCGCGCACATTGACCGCTTCGGCCACGTTAAACTCGTCAAAGTTAAGACACGTGTCTCTCCAGAAGAACTCGTTCACATCGTCGTAGTTGGTCACGTTCTTGTGGTCCACTCCGGCCCCATTCTTCTGTGGCGTCACGTTCCGCATCTTGGCCACAACGGAGTACAGTGGGCGCACAATACGTCGCAGAAACGTTCCTTCCGGTGCATTGGGCAGTTTCTCGATGCCATCTAATTTTGCAGCCATTTTATGGTACAGGAAGCAGAGGCATTCGGGCATGAAGCGCAAGTTGGCGCTTTCTCCCCAGATGAGCAGGAACAGCGCGATCTGGCGCTCTGCCGCGCCAGGATACGGCGCCGTGTCCAGTAGATATGGTTGGGTGCGCAGGAATTGGCACCACTTGATGTAGTTCTTGAAGAACTTGGCGTGAATCGTCTCGATGGCGTTCTCCGTGTCCACGGGAGTTACGGCGGCCTCGAGGATCCTGGACTCGTAGTTGAGTACCCAGCACTCAAAGTGCTCCTTCTGGTTGCGTACGTTGCCCTCCTGGAAGCCAAATTTGGCCTGAAGCAGCTCGAACGAGCCAGCTCCTGGTCGTGGCGGGCGGACGGGCCCAGACGACGTGAGCGCCGCGATGGGCTGCTGCGTCTGTGGATATTTGTCCATGGGTGGACGACTGATACTCACGCCGCGCTCGGCCGCCACGTCCTCCACTGTCTGGTAGTTCGATGCGGCGCGACGACGTGGGGGCGCGGCTGAGACCTGCCGCTGCAGACCGCGGTCCATGGGCTTCTCCTTCTTCATCATCCCCGCGCTGGACCTGGTACCAGGGACAAGACTCCCCCTCTGTTTCCTTCCTTAGCTACCGAGCGGCCTGTGGGCGTTTCGGTGCGCGAGTATATCGTACCGATAGCCACCTACTTGGAGCGAGTGTGCTTCCTTGGTCCGACTGCTGCGCCTTTGGTGAGCTTTGGGGCTGTGAGAGTTGCGTGCGGAATGGGCGAGCGCTTTCCGTTTCCCTTTCCGTCAGTCACGAGCGTCGAGCAGATTGTTCGGGCAAAATGGATGGGGATTAGGGAAGATTCCTTACAAAAGGCAAGTCAAATCCGAACGATAATTTTAGAGCGGAAGTAGGTTCGGAATGGCGCCCATGGTCGCAGGGATGATAGAGAGAGATCAAGGTGAAATCGTGCATGGAAGACCTTGACATAGAGCAGCAAGATCACTTTGCGAGCACTTGGTAGCAAGAACAGCGAGTAGTCAGCGAGCAATGCTCGCCATTGCTCGCCATTGCTCGAGGAGATCCAAATGAAGAGTCAAGATCGAGTAGTCAGAACCCCGCTTAAGTTAAGTGTGGTACGATAGCGACAGGCCAAACTGCAACTTCCGATACAAAAAGGTGTTTCCCAGCTGTCACCTACGACAGCACTCGATACTTTGTGAAAAATGCACAGTATCCTATCAGCCAGAGCTCACCAGCAAGCACTCGAACTCGTACACTTAGTCCACGAGTTGTGGGGCACCATATTGGAAGACCTGGCGCTCTACCTTTGGCCGGCAGCTCTCGCCCGGACAGGCTGGCCGTGCCGCTCCTGGCGTGGTTCGCACGCAACTCCTTGTTGCCACCAGCTGGTGCTCTTCATGCATCGTCTCCCATACTGGAAGCAAGTCACAGCCAGTCGAGTTGCGAAAAAAATCGACAACGCGAAATCGACTTTGCCGGGGGAGCTTCAACATGGCTACATCAAGATTCAAGCTACCCATGTCAACAATGAATACCGCGCGATATTACAATAGCTGATGGAAGAAACACTCCCAAGCTGGAAAGCGAATGTGCTGACCAATTCTATGGTTGAAGTGTATCAAGACGAGTTGATCCCAGTTCCTCGCAGCTACGTCAGAATGATACATTTTCAGGAGCATTTGATTGATGAAGTTCACTATTTTCGATTCGTCCAAAGCGCCCCGATCGCCCCGTGCAAGGAATCAAAGGGAGGCCCATGTTGCCGGCTTCAAAAGCAGGGAGCAGGAACCGCCTCGTCTTTCAAGTCGTCTTCTTGATCATCTTCGCAGAGAGCGTCAGGACAACGAGTTCAGACGGAACGAGATGATGAACAAAGTGCACTGAAGCAACAAAGTCATCATATCATTCACTACAATCAGCAATGAGGTCTCTTCTTTGGACTCTTAGTTCTTGTACTTCATGTCCTCCTCGCTGAAGCCGATGGTCGGGAACTGGCGCACGAACGCAGTCACTTCGCTCTTAAGCGCGTCGACCTTCTGCTGGGCCTCAGCGTCGTCCGCCACGAAGTCCTTGAAGTCCTTCACCTTCTTGACACCCTGGCCACGAGCGCGCTCGTTCAGTTCAGCCGTGAGCTTCACACCGTCGTCGATGAATGCAGCCACCTGCTGGAAGTTCTCCTCCGTGCAGCCACGCGTGGTCAGTGCAGGCGCACCGAGACGAATTCCACCAGGCACGAACGCGCTCTTGTCGCCGGGCACTGTGTTCTTGTTCACCACCATGTTGGCACTCTCAAGCACGAACTCCACGCGGGCACCATCGACGCCACGCGACTTCTTCACGTCCACCAGAGCCAAGTGGTTGTCCGTGCCGTTGGAGACCACATCGTATCCACGCTTCATGAGCTCAGCCACCATAGCACGCGAGTTGGCGATCACCTGCGACTGATAAGCCTTGAACTCCGGGCTCTGCGCCTGCAGCAACGCCGTGCTCAGTGCAGCGATCGTGTGGTTGTGCGGTCCGCCCTGTAGTCCGGGGAACACGGCAAAGTCGATCTTCTGCTGCAGGTCGTACATGACTTCCTTGCCGCTCTTCTTGTCGACGCTCTGCACTCCCTTACGGTAGAAGATCATGGCTCCACGAGGTCCACGCAGCGACTTGTGCGTCGTGGTGGTCACCACGTCCGCGTACTCAAAAGGCGAAGGCACGACGCCAGCAGCAACCAGGCCACTGATGTGAGCCATGTCAGCAAGTAGCACAGCGTCCTGCTGGTCACAGATCTCGCGCATACGCGCGTAGTCGATGGAGCGCGAGTATGCGCTGGTGCCTGCCACAATGAGCTTGGGGCGGAACAGAGCAGCCGTCTTCTCCAGTCCGTCATAGTCAATGAGTCCCGTGCTCTCGTCCAGACGGTAGGGCATGCTCTCGAAGAAGATGGACGTGGCCGAGATCTTCTTGCGGCCGAGCTGGTAGCCGTGCGACAGGTGGCCACCGTGCGGCAGATCCAGCGCCATGATGCGGTCGTGCGGCGCTAGAAGTGCAGTGTACACCTGGAAGTTGGCTGGCGAGCCGGACAGTGACTGCACGTTGACTCCCCACTGCTCCGGGTCCAGATTGAAGGCCTCAAGGGCACGAGCACGGCAGAGCTCCTCGGCCTGGTCGATGATCTGGTTGCCGCCGTAGTAGCGCTGACCAGGGTAACCCTCCGAGTACTTATTGGACATAACGGAGCCCAGAGCGTCAAGCACCGACACAGACGTGCAGTTCTCAGACGCGATGAGGCTGATGCAGTCACGCTGGCGCTGCTTCTCGCGCTCGATGATGTCGAACAGCTGCGGGTCCGACTCGGCCAGCGGCTTGTTCATGGCAGCAGCCCACTGAAGACTCTCGGTGGAGGCATGACGACGCGACAGGAGCGCCGCACGGCGGGTGGGAGCGCGCAGGAAGCCGAGCATCTTATGGCTGGAACGGAGCAAATGCGGGAATGGCTCGGAGCGTTGTTCAAGATCGTAAATGACCACGCACAAAGTTTACTCCTTGAAAGTTTATTTCTTACAATGAAATGAAATATAAGAATGTAAACTTTTGAATTTGAAGTTTGCTTTTTGAAACACTTAGTAATTGGATATAGGAGGGTATTGCCTATCACGACGTCCAAATTACTGCGTGGTGGTCCTAGGATTTGAGGCATTTTGTTTGACACGCTGCTTGTCAGAGCCAATCGAAAGCTCGCTGTTTGGATGCCACGCACGTCCAGCAGATTAGACGCGAGTGATACGCAGTTGAAGTTGTTGCAGTGTTACTTTGCAGTTGCTGCTGTATGTTTCACTCTAATTCGACCATCGCCTTCTAGTTGCTTCGCTGTGCTACGTCGCCCCGCTCAATTTCCCACACGTCGATGCGGTCGGTGGAAAACTCCGGGTGTAATTTGACCGCTGGAATGCGCGTCTTGACGAGGTTGTAGCGCTCCAGTTCGCTAAAAAGCAATCGGTCCGACATGACGCTGCGCTTCTGATACGACATGAGGATCCTCGTCTTCGCGGTTGAATGGCGCAGCAGCGTATCGAAGGTCGCCACGAGCGGAGGGATGAGCTCCTCGACCCACACGACGTCGGACGCCAGCAAGAAGTCGACGTCTCCTAAATCTGTTGGCGGATTGAACCAGTCCAACACCTGAGTCGAGACGTCGCTCTCTACGGGCCTGCCGGTGCTAGCTGCAAGCTTCATCGTCTCCGCCATGTTCCTGGCGAGGTTGTCGACGACATAGTCCAAGTCCGACAGGATCACCTGTCTTGCTCCAAGTAGTGCAGCAGAGATACCCACCAACCCCGTCCCTGCTCCTAATTCCACGACACGACTTCCAGCAATATCACTGCGACGTTGGTACTCTAAATACTTGGCCAGCACCACCGATCCGTCCCACGTCGTCAAACCCGTGCCTTTACCCGAGTTGCCAATTTCTCCAATATGCACCACCCTCCCATCGATCACAAACTTGTCACCTGCTGCCACATCCAAGCCAAAGATTCTTGACGGTAGTGCTAAACAAGTGTGATCTGGAAACAGAGCATCGGCGTTGGTGAGTGTGACGCTTAGTCTTGACCTACGACCTCCAAGCTGGGAGAGCTCCTTGAGTGGTGCAAATTGCTGCTTCTTCTGGTCGTAGACCTCGATCTCCATGCCCAGCTCAGTAGATACTTGGCCATCTGTTCCATTTTCCGTTAAACGCTCCTCTAAACGCTTACGAAGCAGCTCCTGGAGCTCAGTCAACGATGTGGGATAATCCGTCAGCCGTAATGTCATCGGATCTTGCAGTTTCCCTTGCAGTCCAAGCTGCTGCTGCAGTTCCACGCGCAATGTCAGCGGTTGAGACGTAGATGCCATTGTTCTAGCAACGAATAGATACAGCAATAAAGCCAGCAGGGCCAGGATACGCATCGACTTCGGCGACGTCTCGACTGACGTATCTCACACTCCAGCGTCACACCACTTTACGTACTCTTGGTGTACAGGACCAAAAATAGAACGTTCTAGATTTAGATTTCTAAAAGAGGTTAGCTTCAACGTAACCTGCCAATCCCCGACAAGATGCCGAGGACTGGGTGCTTCAACGTTCACATGGCCGTCACTTTGCGACGATCTTCCAAAGCAGCAGTCGACGACGCAGCCACGGCGAGCATGAAGACTCCAGCTGAGCGCGGTCCCGTTCCTATTAGCGGCTATCTGTACAAGATGAAGGCCAAGGAGCGGGTACTCACACCACAGTGGAACAAGCGCTTCTTCGCTCTCGAGGGAACGAAGCTCAAGTACTACCAGAACGAGAACTCTCAAGAGGCGTCCAAGGTCATCGATCTGTTGGGCATCGAGTCCATTCGACGCTTCGAGAACGGCGACCACGGCGTCTTCAGCTTCGTGGTCAAGACCCCGGAGCGCAGCTACTTCCTGCGCGCCGAGAGCAAAGGCGACATGAAGCGCTGGGTCCGCGGCCTCAAGGATCAGCAAGATCTGTGGCGTGCCAAGCTGGAAAAGGGTACTGCACTACCCGACCCAGCCGTGCGCAGACCCAAGCACTACAGTGACTTCCCCCTAGTATCCCAGAGTAGCTCCAGTAGCCTCCGCGCTTAATTACCAACGGAATCAATATTACTTAAGTACCACGCATCACAGCGACTCCCGCGTTAAAAAATTTGTAACCTTCTTATAAAATTGTGGAGTCTAAGCTCCTCCAATTCATACCAATAAACCGGGCCCTCACAAGTCTGGACTTCCATGCTTCGCCTTCTATAAACCCGCGAATTTCGCCCAGCCCGGTGCGCTCTCACACAGCGCGCGAATAAGCGCATGTCGTTTCTCGGAATCCTGCAGCAGACGCGCAAGGTCCGGCACCAGTCGTCCAACGAAGTCTGGGTCGAAGGAGTCCATTAAATATTGGTAAAACTCGTGCGCTGTGATCTGTTCGTTGCCATATTTGCGAGTATGTGACGTGAACGACTTCATCTTCTTCGAATCGCCACCAAATGCAGCGAGTACGGACTCCAAAATTGACTTGTGCAGTAACTGCGCTTCTTCTCCGACCACAGGCTCGATATCCTTAATGGGAAGCGGGATCACGACCTTGTTACGTCTACGACCTGCTGAAGAGGATCCTGCTCTCTCGCGTCCTTCAGATGGAGGAGAAACCAAAGAGTTGCGCTGCTGCTTCTTTGACTCTTTCTCTTTCTTCACTTGCTCCTTGAAGCGCGCAAATGCCTCCAATAATGCATTCTGCTTCTCCTCGTCGGATAGGAGCTTCGCCGAGTTCGGGATGATCTTACTTGCACATTTCGAGCCCACACACTGTCGCACCTGGTCACAGAACTCATCAGCTGTGATCTCATCCAGCCCAAACTTCCGAGACGTGTCCTTGAACTGATCGATCACTGCCTCTTCATTGCCAGGCGAATGCTTCCCAGCCCACGTAGTGATGATGGACATGATCTCAGCATAAATCGCCTTCGTCTCCTGCGAGTTCTGCTGTCGCTCCTCGTCTTGTCGCTGTCGTTCCTCGGCTTCCCGCTTTAATCGTTCAGCCTTCTCAGCCTCAGCAGCAGCACGAGCCGCAGCAGCCTCCTCGTATATGGCTTGGTATTCCTTCGTCTGGTTCTGACGGTAGGCCTTCTTGAATTCTGTAACAAACTCGTCCAGGATAGTAAAGAATTCCATCGGGCCAACCTTCCTCGGATCTTCTCCAAAAGAGCTCACAAGCTCTTGATAAGACGTTTCCAAGCCGTTAAAATCGCGTCCGAGTTCCTCCAGTACTTCTTCTGCGTCCTTCGCAAATGGAGTCATAACTTCATAGAACTTGTCGCCCTCAATGTGATCGTTCTTGGACGCACGCACTTGGCCCTTGAGCATGGCCAGCTCAGTGTTGTAGGACGACAGGTCAGCGCGCAGTTGATCAAGAGACAGTCTCTTGGCTTCAACGATATGGGGCACTTCTCCAGCAAAGGTGATGACGTCCGGGGCCTTCTCTTCCAGCTGACGTAGCAAGAAATGCATTAGCGTGACTCGAGGGTCGATCGACTTCAGAGTGTGTAGCTTCATCAGAGTGTCCAGCTTGAACCCGTAGGCCCCACCACGAGGTGTACTGCCATTCAGATAATTTCCGATGGCCAAAATATGCTCCAACACACGCCGGAACTTGTCGCTCTCCGTCACTTGATCCGTAGCCGCGACTAGTGTATCCAATTGCGCCTGTGTTTCCAGAATACGATTCTCGAACTGCAATTTGAACCTGAAGCACTTGATACGCTGAGTGTAGCGCGGGATAGTCAGTAAATCCAAGAAAAACTTCTCCACGTTTCCTAGTAGCTTCACATCTCCGTCGTAATTCTTGAGCATATCAATCTCTTCCAACGTTGGGGAGATCGAAATGAGCACGTTCAGCACTTCAGAGCCCAATTTCTGGCCGTCTAGTGCGTAGATAGCATTCTTGATATCCTCCGACGACATTTTGAAGCGCGCAATCGCAATGGATACATTTTGCTGTCTCTTCGGGTCGAACAGAAGAACCTCCTTGGGCTGAGCGGGGACTTTTTCAGCTTCTTTCTTCTTCTCGTCAAGCTTCTTCGACGCATCCACCGGATTTTTGCGAAACATCCACTCCATCTCATCCACGTCAAGCTCGGCATGTGAGTCATTCAGCTTCATCCAGACAGTGCTACTAACTACATTAACAGGCACACGGGTCCAGAACAGAGGACGCAATTCGACATTCGGCTTCACGGTCTCTTTCTTCGGAAGTTGAGGTTCCTCAGGCTTCTTGGCGACGGGTTTCTTGCTCACTTTAGATGCCAGACTTGCTTGCAGAGCCGACGGATCCACTTTAACCGCTTCTTTCGGAGGAGGGAGACCCGCTAGAAGACCTCCACCGGTACTGCCCGCCTTCTGATTGGGAGATGGCGCGTCGGGTGTGTCTAGCAAGTCTTCATTCAATCCAGCAGCACTCATCTTCATCTTGACTTGCTCTGGTGGCATCCCCATCTTCACTAGCTTAAAGAACTTCTCGTACGCTGGGTCTTCCTTCACTGTCATCAACTGGTTAGACGTAGCTGCTGGCCTACCAGCACCGGATCCAGGCATCGGCGCATCCAACTTTTGAATTTGAAGTTTGCTTTTTGAAACAC